AATTAGTTAGCATAAATCAGTTAAATGACGAAAAATTAGGTGTCTATTTACTTGTGACCACTCAGTGTATATACTGCCCATGTTGTAAAAATGTAATGACACAAATATATTTTTAAATGGTTTAATAATTTGTATTCTTTGATTTGATGAAAGTAGCGTGAACTTTCCTTTAAAATCAGCTTGATTTAGAAATATTTTCATTGAAAACCATTGACTGAGGTTAATCTTACGTTATAAAAGAGCCAGGCGTGGCCTAGTGATCAGAGTATAGGAATGTGTTTCCAAGAATCAATGGTTCGCATCCAGTTACCGAAAAATTGCGTTCTAAACTTTGGTGATGTGTCATAAGAGTGACGGTTATACTCGATTCAAGTAGCCCAAAAGTTGGCGGTAGGTTGACTTAGCCGTTTTCCCTCTAGTCTATCAGTTTAAAATTGGGGACGATCATCGCAGATAACCCTTGGTCCTGGTAAATCCTTGTGGAGAAAGAATCACTTGAATTAGGCACGTAGAAGTAGGACATCTTGACATGTAACATCATGTACTGTTTACCATCTGACATAATTAAACACTACATGATTATATTATTGGTTATAATGTCACAATGTGGATATCCTTAAAATGTCTGTTTCACCTGAGTTGGTTGTAGTTAGTCCATGGTTCGAATCTTAAGACGGAATAAATTCATTCTTACCTCGTTAACAGATCGCAAGTGATGGGAGTCTATATAAAGCAGCTCAAAGGAATGGCAGACCAGGTATACAATTGTCTCTGTGATCTTCTCGTAGGATGTCCAGGCATATCAAGTACGATTTTCATATAATTAATCTATCTTGATTAATATAATGTTAGTTTCTACTCAAAAAGTATAATAAAAGCATTTTCTTCTAAATGGAATTCCTAATAAAACATTACAAAACCAGTTGAGTGATGTAAAGAACAGAATAGGATAAAAATATAGCTGCTCTCATTAATTTGGCTTATCACGTGACATTTTTATGTCTGCAATAAAATTCACTGACCCACAAAACTCCTGTTTTCATACCAACTTCCTGTGACTTCTAGAACCTGAGATAGTGACTTTTGACCATTGGCGTCCGCCATCTCGGAGTTTGGTATCCTACGTGAAATACCTGGCAAAATTCACAAGAGTTGCTAGCCATTAAATGATTATTAGGACTCAAAGGTGCCTCACAGAAAATTTGGTGATTTCATCCATCCAGGAATTTCGCTAAGCCACCTGACTACTAAGGACTGTGGTAGTTTCGTTTTTAAAATGTGCCACTACAAACCTAACTAAATTATGTTTCGTGTTTAAAAATAATTTTTGATTTAGCTCAATAACACATATTAATTCAGCCCATTTTCTGTTATTTGTTTTACTAGAAGATGGAAGAACTTTGACTTGTTACTAAAACTGGAGAGGCTAATTTCCTGAAATTATAACTATTATATCTCTGTAATAAGTTTAAACTCTTTGGTACTATGTACTTAATAGCTAGTTTTATATTGTGTGTGTGTGTGTGTGGAGTTGGGATCGAAAATCTATATAATTTTGAAGAATAAAACTCAAAATGTTAAAATTTACTTTTAATACGACAGCTCCGCCAGAGCTGAAAATTGAGTCAACCTTGGCCGTGAAGAATAATCGGGACCCAACTACTGAAATGTATCAAGCAAAAGCACTACATTCTCAAACACAAGAAAACGTTTTCAGGGTTTGGATCCTCTGAGAGTCAACCATACTGGGAGAATCAGAACAGGATTGGTCCCTAGATGATGCCCGTTACCTCCAGTGTCACAGTTATCAGTATTGTGGTCCAGATGAGCCAGCCAAGGGACAATCCACATTGATGACCACCACCAAGCCAGTGAAGAAGAGATGATGAGCTTCTACCTCATCAATGGTCATGGTATCACCAGCCAAACAGCCTCAAAAGCAACCTCAGAGACAAACGAATGTGGAACTCCCAACAAAAGCCATCCAAAATAGATATCAAGTAGCCCATGTTAGAGCAGATTCCTATATACAACCATTTGAACTGAGGTTTGAGCCCTAAACAACCAGGAGGATTAACTAAAACTGAGGGCTACACCTCTGTTGTGGTTCATGGAGGAGGCGTGCCATAAAAAGGGCTCTAGCCAAAGCCCACTACATTGTGAGGGTGACAATGGCAGCTATTCTGAAGACAACCTCTGCTGGTAGGGATCACGAAAGGGAAACCTTGTGCATGCCATTGGAGTAGTGTATACATTTTGTAGCGCAGATAGCCCTCGTGTAGCTTTGCTCGAAATTCAAAACATTTTGTATATTCTTTCTGTATTTGTTTCAGTGTGTATTTTAATATGTAATTTTACAGCTCAGTTGTTTATTATTACTGTAATATTTTTACATTTTGTTATTTATGTAGTTTGTTTGTTTGTTTCTGAATTTCGCGCAAAGCTACACGAGGGCTATCTGCGCTAGCCGTCCCTAATTTAGCAGTGTAAGACTAGAGGGAAGGCAGCTAGTCATCACCACCCACCGCCAACTCTTGGGCTACTCTTTTACCAACGAATAGTGGGATTGACGTCACATTATAACGCCCCCACGGCTGAAAGGGCGAGCATGTTTGGTGTGACAGAGATTCGAACCCGCGACCCTCAGATTGCGAGTCGAGTGCCTTAAACTACCTGGCCATGCCGGGCCCCTACAATATTAGTATAAGATGTGTTGTTTTGCCCCCCAAAATAGTGACTTCCCCTCCAAAAAAATTGGGGCCTGGCGTCGCCACTGTTTGTTTCGTGACATTACACACTCTTAATTAGATCAATCTATTGAACAGAGATATCATCCATATATGCCTGGAGAATGATTTATCTAATCAAATACACCTTAGGTGTGAAAAAAAGGGGCGGCAAAAAAAATAATTCAACGTGCGACTTTTGTTTTACCCACCGTCATATCCAAAGTCGAACAAAAAATGCGGCCTGGCTTACTAATGAATGATTATTTGCTCTAACTTCTTATCAATGATATAAGTGTAGTTACCAGTTTGTCCGACAACTTTGATTTCATTCCTTTAAGTTGCACGCTCAATCCTTTTTTGACCGCCCCTTTTTTCACACCTAAGGTGTTTTTGATCAGATATCATGACTTTTTATCAAGACACACCAACAAACCACATCAAATAAGAAAGTGACACTTGATATTAACCAACATTAGCTTTAGGATAGCAACCCTATTATTCGAAACAGACCTTTATTTTATAGAACCAACTAGATTCTTTAGTATATATGGTGGTAGTTTTCCTTTCTAAAACAGTGTTAATAGCTTCTTTTAAACTAACGCCAGTTTTGCTGCTCTAAATCAGACGTTTTTAATCCGAATAACAAAAACTAAAAATGGTCCACTTTTACTCTTAGGTGAAGCTGTAGTAAAAATGTTAGAACGATAGCTCACGGGACATTTTCCCGTAGACGTGCGCAAAAAGTTTCGTTAAATTTGAGCGGTTTTTTTTAATACTTTTGCATATTTTACTTATATTTACACCAAATGAGACTCCTAATTGTAGGTTGTAAAGATCTATCAGTATACCAAATTCTAAAAAAAAATCCATAAAAGTTAAGTATGTTTTTCTATCAAATATAGTTTCTGTACTTTTGGTGAGAAGAAAAAAAAAAGAGGAAGAAATTGGAGATGTTATATCTCAGATATTTCTTATTAGATCGCCTTGAAATTTGTAAGAGTCCAGTAGAGTACATCCAATGAAAATATGTGATAGTTTGGATTACAGTCCGAGCTACACAAGGTCGAAAATCGCTAAATAATAACGTTACTCACCTTAATTGCAATCAGTATAAAAACAATAATACCATAACATAAAATGGAACGATATTTCTAAAGTAAACTTGTATCAGAAAACGCAGTAAAATAACATTAACTCTGCTGACAAACAAATCACACTCTAGTAGGGCAAACTTCAGTTACACTTTATTGGAGAATTTTAACGAGAAAAACAAATCTTATTAACAAACATGTGGTTCAAACGAATTGGTTAAGAGGATGATTGTTGAATCCCTAAATATTAAGCTTTATACAACCCAATGATTATAATATTTGAGCGTAGAAATATGGAATGAATGTCTTAAAAAGTATTGAATTTATTCTACGGTGTGACGTAGAAATTAGTATAAAAATTAATTTAATCAATGTACAAGAATATACATATACATTCCATTGTTTTGAATTAAGGTTTTGAAGAGAAACAGTGAACGAATCTTACAGACTATTTGGCCGTATTTTACTTAGATTATGTATATAATACCATAATTTAATCCTTGGATCACTACGAAGAGAAACCAACGGTAATACAGTCAGTGCAACAATGAAGTTCTGTAGTAAATATAGTATAACTTTACGCTTCAGAGCATCCTGTTTATTTGGTAACATTACATTGTTATTTTGTGACGCATTTGCTGACCATTCCTAGTTATGGTTCAGTGGGTCTGTGTAAGAAGATCAACATTTTACCAAAAATACTAAGAAATGGCAACTGCCTCTAGTAAACTTTGAGTCATGAAATTGTAAAATGCCTTAAAATTATATATTTTAATATAATAATCAGAGCTCCAACGTTGCTGAACGGCATAAAACCAAAGGTTAAATGTTATATCTAAAAAGTATGTAATGAGATAGAGTGTTGTTACTGATAATTTATATGTAAATTTTACACTGTAGTCTCAGAAATAATCAAACATCGTTTAAAATTTAAGTTAACTCGTGATCAGGAGTGCAAGCACACGATACACTTTCTCTTACAGTAGCGACAAAATATCTAACGGTCTATAGAAAAGGTTCCTTTGTAGTAGCACATCATACGAATGTCGATGATCAGGTATCCTAGCATACCTGTTGCTAGAAAGCCTAGAAGGATATAGATCTTTATGTCAATACACAAGTAGGTACTGTAAGCAAATGCCATACTGAAGCCGATCGATTCCCAAAGTCTGTAGTTGGAAAACGTTGCCTCTTCATCACTCTTGAACAAAACTCCGTATAAAGCTGTTCGGAAAAAAAAGGAAAATAAAAATAATTATATAACTAAATACGTGGTACACGTTTTCCTTTTGTACGATTGAAGTCCAGTCTACGTATCTAACGATTGGTCTCATCCTGTATAAGGACTTTTGAGCCATTTGAGCAACAGAAATAAATCGAACATTATATTATTATTATAGGAAAATCAAAGAGGAGCATTTATATATATTTTCTACCTTATCATGAAAATTGTACAGTTTTTCAGAGTGCTATTGAAGGCTTCGTTATTAACGTGTACGTTATTGAAATGAAAAGTATGTCTGACTGTTTGATATATTCGTTCTGAAGATGCCATTCTCTACTGTACGAATATTTTAATATACTACTGCATTACTTTCAAACATTTCACTTCCTTATTAGGCATACTGAATTTGAAAGTGGTGTTCATTGTTCAATATATTAATTGATCAAGCTTCTTCGTTAGATAAATTACAAATGAATTATACCATTGTTTAATGCTCCCCCCCCCCTTAGTGGTTGAGCTATAAGTCCAAAGACACCTAACGCTAAAAACCTGGATTCAATACCCATAGTGAGCACAGTACAGATAGCCCATTGTGTTGCTCTGTGCTTAACAGTAAACAAACAAACCATTCTTTAATACATTAATACTGAAATTTTCATTTATTGCTTAATATATAATTTGTTTGTATCATTATATTGTTGCGTCATCGAGATCACGTGACAATTCTCACGCTCTCTTGTTTCTAGAACTATCCC